ATTATTATTATTATTATTATTATTATTATTATTATTATTATTATTATTATTATTATTATTATTATTATTATTATTATTATTATTATTATTATTATTATTATTATTATTATTATTATTATTATTATTATTATTATTATTATTATTATTATTATTATTATTATTATTATTATTATTATTATTATTATTATTATTATTATTATTATTATTATTATTATTATTATTATTATTATTATTATTATTATTATTATTATTATTATTATTATTATTATTATTATTATTATTATTATTATTATTATTATTATTATTATTATTATTATTATTATTATTATTATTATTATTATTATTATTATTATTATTATTATTATTATTATTATTATTATTATTATTATTATTATTATTATTATTATTATTATTATTATTATTATTATTATTATTATTATTATTATTATTATTATTATTATTATTATTATTATTATTATTATTATTATTATTATTATTATTATTATTATTATTATTATTATTATTATTATTATTATTATTATTATTATTATTATTATTATTATTATTATTATTATTATTATTATTATTATTATTATTATTATTATTATTATTATTATTATTATTATTATTATTATTATTATTATTATTATTATTATTATTATTATTATTATTATTATTATTATTATTATTATTATTATTATTATTATTATTATTATTATTATTATTATTATTATTATTATTATTATTATTATTATTATTATTATTATTATTATTATTATTATTATTATTATTATTATTATTATTATTATTATTATTATTATTATTATTATTATTATTATTATTATTATTATTATTATTATTATTATTATTATTATTATTATTATTATTATTATTATTATTATTATTATTATTATTATTATTATTATTATTATTATTATTATTATTATTATTATTATTATTATTATTATTATTATTATTATTATTATTATTATTATTATTATTATTATTATTATTATTATTATTATTATTATTATTATTATTATTATTATTATTATTATTATTATTATTATTATTATTATTATTATTATTATTATTATTATTATTATTATTATTATTATTATTATTATTATTATTATTATTATTATTATTATTATTATTATTATTATTATTATTATTATTATTATTATTATTATTATTATTATTATTATTATTATTATTATTATTATTATTATTATTATTATTATTATTATTATTATTATTATTATTATTATTATTATTATTATTATTATTATTATTATTATTATTATTATTATTATTATTATTATTATTATTATTATTATTATTATTATTATTATTATTATTATTATTATTATTATTATTATTATTATTATTATTATTATTATTATTATTATTATTATTATTATTATTATTATTATTATTATTATTATTATTATTATTATTATTATTATTATTATTATTATTATTATTATTATTATTATTATTATTATTATTATTATTATTATTATTATTATTATTATTATTATTATTATTATTATTATTATTATTATTATTATTATTATTATTATTATTATTATTATTATTATTATTATTATTATTATTATTATTATTATTATTATTATTATTATTATTATTATTATTATTATTATTATTATTATTATTATTATTATTATTATTATTATTATTATTATTATTATTATTATTATTATTATTATTATTATTATTATTATTATTATTATTATTATTATTATTATTATTATTATTATTATTATTATTATTATTATTATTATTATTATTATTATTATTATTATTATTATTATTATTATTATTATTATTATTATTATTATTATTATTATTATTATTATTATTATTATTATTATTATTATTATTATTATTATTATTATTATTATTATTATTATTATTATTATTATTATTATTATTATTATTATTATTATTATTATTATTATTATTATTATTATTATTATTATTATTATTATTCAGGAAAGGTTATGGACTGGAATTTATGACAGATAGAAAGTCTTTGATTGGAAATTGGTATTCTTTTTGGTTGATTGTCAGGTGTGTATTAAGCCATTTTCTCGATGTTTATTGCAGTTTTCTCTTCAGTTAATGCAAATGGTGCTGTGCACCTTCACAGCTTATGCAGTGATAGAAAACAGAGGGTGTCAGGTGAACATGTAAATGATTTAAAGTCAGTAATAAAATTATTTAAAATGTGAATACTGTTCCAATTTTGGAATTGTTTGCTTGGTGTGAGTAGTGTTTGTTTGTGTTAATTTTGTGTTCGAAGATATGAATTGCAGGGCAGGGGATTGTGAGATACACATACAGTGTCTGTTGAGGTGAGGAATTTGTACCAGGGAGACTGAGAGTACTGTTGTAAAACAGGGGAAATGAATTATTTATTATAAGACAGGAAGTAGAAAAGTTAGATAAGGCAGATTATCTATGCATCATTGATAAGGCTACCTGGCATCATTTCCTCTTTTGGTTGCATGGCAAGCTTGAAGAGAAAACATAGATTGGCTATACTAACTGTCAGACCTTGTTGCTGAGGACTGGGTGCAAAATAATTATATGGTGTGAGTGAGCAGAGCAGCTACATTAGTCCTTGTTGCTGAGGACCTATAACTATAGGTGCTAACATGAATGCACATAACTATAAAGTGGAGGGAGAAACAAATTTTCTTGTCAAGACCACTCCAATGAGACCCAGGTATCAAAGTCTGCTACTGGTGCTGCTGCCTCTATGGGTATCATTTAGGCCATTGCCATGGGTCATTGGTAGTGCATTCAACTCTTATTGGGAATCCCCACTTGACCCTGGCTGATATTGGCAAGAGGAATCCAGTGATGCAATTTCTCCCAAGCTTAAATTGACCATATGTCTTGCAATGCATTGATACAGGCTGTTGTTTCTAACTCACACTCTATTTCCCTCCTTCCCTCTCCTTTTATATGCTTTTGCTTGTATATTCTACTCTCTTATTATGTATGTTATTTGTGTTGCAGGATCTTGTTGCATCAGGCATAGATATGCATGCCCTTGAGCAGGAACATCCGTGTGAGTACTTGGTAGGTGACCTAGTATGGGTTCACATTAGGGGAAGTCCATTGTGGCCTGCAATGGTGTCCTACCACCCACGAATGGGCCAGTACACCAAAATATCAGGTATGTAATTTGTCTTAGAAAACATACTTTTTAACTCAGCCTTGTGTAAATGTGAATAAAAAAACAACTGAAAAATAATGATTTAAAACACAAACACACCTACACACACACTCACACATTCGCACGCATACATTTACATGCCCATATCTATATTTACACACGTACACACACGCACACATACACATACACATACACATACATCTCACAGATGTACATTCGTTTACATTTTTTAATGTAATAATTATTTTATTCACCAGTTGCCCAGAACTGGTACAAAATACGCAGTGTCAGAATGTACCATGTACAATTCTTCAGCGATAATGCCCAAACATATTGGATTGCACCCATCAATGTCTTACCATTTGAAGGCTTACCCAAGCTCAGAGAGTACCTCAGTGACCTTAAGTCTAAGGTCAGTATATTTCTTGTGTGTAGGGCTATCCTATTCAAAGAATTTTTATTATTATTGAATCATGGTGTCAGAGACGAGATCCTAATGCATGTTCATAGCAGAAGTAGATATTGCTTAAGGTGTGAAATATTTCTCAAATTGGAGAATTTCTTTTTTACATTCATCTTTACTTACAGGCAAAAGAAATGAAAAAATCAAAAAAATCTCACAATGACAGTTTACTTAAGACTTTAGTACATATCAACAAGATAACTACAGGCCAGAAACATGAGCGTTGGATCAGAGCAATAGAAGAAGGAAAAGCAGCTATGGCTTTGGACAGGTAATTTTTCATTTGTGTTCTTGAATTTGAGAGGAAAAGCCTTTAGAGACTTGGTTCATTTTGCCATATTTCACCTTTTTTTTTTTTTAAGGTAAGTTTATGCTAGAAGTGTCTATATAGTTATCTTCTCATTGGTATTCTGGTTGACTTTTTTTTTTGGGGGGGTGGGGGGTACTGAGGTATTATCAGATACAATACTCAGAAGTTTTTATAAGTTCTGAATGGCTTTTTGGTGAAAGTTAAAATATTCTTATATATTTACATATCTGATTTTCTAATGTCTTTGGAAGTTCAAATTTATGCATAACCAGTTTCCTGGTATTCTTATTTTTCTCATGCTTTTTTGTTTGGGACATTGTTCCCTCTCCCTGCAGATATGAAAGAATACAAAAGTATGCCTTAGAGTATCCCGAGATTGAACCATCAGAAGATGTCAGCGTGAAGAAGTTGATCTCTAAACATTCCATGCTGAAGTCACAAGGTTCTAGCATGGAAGGCAGACCTGAGAAGAAGAAGAGGGGAAGGCCCAGAAAGTACAATATTGAAAAGAAGTTACCAAGTAAACCTTCCAAGTCAAATGGTGATTCAACGGATGGCGAGTTTTCAGGCTTTGATGAAAATTCTTCTTTCGAGGAGAAGAAAAGGAGGCTTGCCCTCACCACCAAACTGAGCAAGGAAGGCAGCTTCAAGGTCTATGCCCAGAAACACTTGCCTAGGGTAATGCAGGATTTCCCAAACATTTCCGAAGAGACTGCACGCAATAAGTTGAGATGGAGATGGAAGAAGATGAGTAGCTCCCAGACCACAAGATATAAATCCAAGTTTTCATCATCTCCGAATGAAGGGCTGAATGATACTATGAAAAGGAAATATGAGCCATCTTTTGAAAATTTCCTTGAAGATGACAGTGGGGCATCAGCTGCAAAAAGGAAAAGGACAGAAGAGTATGTTGAGAACTTGCGTGGTGTTTATAAAGTAGTGCGTAATGAGAAAGTCTGTTACCGTTGTGAAAGTGTGAGTACTAAAGGTGGTTCTGATATGGTCCGGTGCAAAGGACTCTGTTGTGGTGTCTTTCACTTGGAGTGTATAGGGTTAAGCTCTCACCCAAAGAGAGATTTCAAATGTGAAGAATGCCTTACTGGCCAACACAAGTGCTTCCTATGCAAGTCATCAGATGGGATTTTGCAAAGATGTACAGTTCCCTTCTGTGGCAAGTTCTACCATGAAAGATGTATTCAAAAGTGGCCTCATGTCTCCAAACAAAGGCAGCAAGAGGTAAGTAACATTTCTGTTTTAGGAATAGGTATTTTTTATTTACTTTTTGAGAGGGAAAACTTTTATTGTTACATTTTCTTTATTGCACTTTATTGCATGAAAGTGTATGAATAGAAGTGGCATAACTCAGTGGTAGAGTGCTGGCTTGGCAAGGTCCTGGGTTCTGGCTGCCCCTCTCAGTCAACTCAGCTGTGAATGAGCATGGGTATGCTGACATCAACATGCTGGGGTCAAAGTTGGTGTGGAAATGAACTGGCCACCCTACTGCATCATCCTTCGGCTTAGTAAGCCTGTTTCTCTATGAATGTGTCTCCTGGGTCCACACAATATGGCAAACTCTGACTATGAAATGTGTGAATAGAAAAAAGAAATACTAATATTCTAGAAACTCAATGGTATGTAATGAGAATGAGGGAAGGAAGGGAAAAATCAGTGTTTAGCTGGATGTAATACGTCATACAGCACCAGAATTACTACTACACGCACACTATCTTTTATTCACAAGAAGCTAGAGGTGGGAAAACATGACTTGAGTGCCTACAAGGGTAGTGGGGATAAGGGAGTAATATCATGGGTGTAAAAGAAACTTGCCAAACAGTACCAGATATGTTAATGTACACAGTGTATCCTTCATAACAAAAAAAAAGTTTTGAGTGAACTGATTGATACAGGAACAGTTGAAAGACATGCCATTGTAGTTTTTGTTTTTTGCCTTTACACATAGATATCAATCATTGGACTAAGAACATCAATGTTATTAGCATTAGAAAAAAACAATTCCCCTGAAAGCTTAAGGAATGGAGAAATCAGGTTTAATCATGTAAATCTACTAATTGGCTCCTTGGAGGCTGAAAGCATGTGGGACCATCTATCAATAAAGGAAATTTGCAAAAGAAAACTACAATCTATGGTCCATGTTTCTGGCAGGAATTGGTTCAGATACTAAACTCAGTGGATTCCCAGATGTGATAAACTGGGAGGTGGGACTAAAAATTATAGTTTATTTTTTTTATAGAGAAGAATACAAGTACATGCATGTGGTCATGCCCAAGTGTGGCCAGTTAAAGGAATGAGATCACCTGACAAAGCATAACTAAGGAGCATAATAATAATAATAATAATAATAATAATAATAATGATAAAAAGCACTGGTTCATTACTGAGATTGTAAGATTGTGAGTTTAAAACAGTTTCCCCCAAATTGTAATGATTTATTGGTACTGGGTACAGAGAAATTGTAGTGTAAAACAGGTAGAAATAGAATGAATTTAGAACAATATATAAAGGTGCCACTAGTTATTGTACAATGTTTTACTTGTGGTATTTAATACAAAATGCTCTAGCTATATAATCTTGATATGAATTACAAAATAACTCCCTTGATTCTATGTATGATATGCTGTCTGACAATGACATAGGTTTCTTCACAATATTTCCAAATTGTTTGATATCTACTTGCATTTGTTTGATACCTAAAATACTTGATGGCTCAGATATCACAGTATGAAACAATTATTATTATTATTATTATATATATATATTTTTTTTGCATAGTGATGTAGAAAACATATAAAAGGAAGTAAAGAGAAATATCTATGCAAATTGCAGTTAAATGTGGCTAACTAGATAAACGAATTCAATCTCTTCTCAGTGTGATCTCTTAATGATTGTTTATCAAATTTTTGAAAAGGCTCAATTACTATTTAACCTTTACACTCTAAAAAGCAGACACATGTGATTTTTCTGTGTATTGCTTTTTTTTTTTTTTTTTTCCTGAAAATTATAGTTATGAATTGGATTTGACAAGTTGTGTATGTAAAATTAGACATATTATGTTCTATTAAAATTTACCTTAAATAGATATTTCTAATTTCTGGAAACAGTCTCCATAAAATGTTATAACCTAGTATTATTCTAACACTAGGGGGAAAATGTGATCATACTGACATAATAATTTTTAAAGAGCCATCATCATACATGCAGTAAGTAATAATGTGTGTTTTCATTGCTGTTTTGTTTTGTCAATGTTTATAAATTTTTTCTCCCGTATGAAAGGAGAAAATGCAAAATCTGCTTGATATGGCTTTATTACACTGTTTATAATGATAAAATGAGCAATTAATTGAAATTTATTCAATTATTTTGAATCAGCAGCATTTTCACCACCCTTCATAGGTGTTGGTTGATTTTCAAACCCCTAAGATTTGTAAATTCTCCAGTTTGCAGATTTTTGAAGAGGATCTCAATTTTATACACTAGAAAATGTATGTTTTTTGCAGT